GGAAAAGTTTAATCCAAACAATGTACCTTATGTACAGGAATTAAGCGAAGAAAAGTTTAATCCAAACAATGTTGTGGCTACCCACATAAGTGAAAGAATTTCATGTACAATGTGGGGCTGGTTTTCCAGCGGTGCTATTGGTGAATTCATCGACATTCCTTCAACGATGAACTCTGAGGAATACATTAGTATAATGGAAGAAGTTCTCCTTCCATCCGTGCGAGCAATATATCCTGTGGAAGAGGTGCCGATTATCCGAGTAGTGCAGGATAATTCTGATGTCCATACATCACGCGAAATACAAGAATGGTTCCAGAATCATCAAGAAATCCGCTTAATCAAGTTGCCTGATCGTTCGCCAGATTTAAATTTGATGGAGGATGTTTGGGAACAAATGATTCAACACTGGGAACAAAGAGGAGAGAACACAGTAGCGGCGTTAGTCGACCACGCGAGAGAAGTTTGGGAAGAACTTCGGTCTCTACCCAACTTTTTCGCGGCCTTGCTTGATTCAATACCTGATCGACTCCATAATGTTATCAAGCATACCGGATCTTTGACTGACTAATGACTGACTGACTAGCGACAAGAACTAGTGACCTTAATTCTCGGGAAAAAAGACGGCCCTTTTCAGGGTCACCACATATTTCATGGAATAATCTGCTCATAATAATAGAATAAACTCATTTTTCGCGAATGAGCATTGTTTATTTATTATAGTACGATTCATTGGTTCGTATCCACGCCCCCGTTGGGTATATATATCGACACGCGAGCTCGGCTATGTCAAAAAACGAGATCCGCGAGTCCGGAGATGAAGAAACAAATGAGATGCGATTCTCGCGGTTCGCGATTTCGTCGAGGAAGCAAGAAGCGAGCAGCCTTCCCTTTCAACGAAGCGGCATCTCGTTTGAGGAACAGCCACACTCGACTAACTCGCATTATATATCCAACATATGATATGTTCAATATATAATATTATTGACATGTGTTATTGCTTTTATACATGTCTATAGTAATACAGAGCGATAATTAATTATTTGGAGCTATTCCAAGTAATTAATTATCGCTCCGCATTACTGCACACATAAAAATAATACATATTGGATATATATAGCGAGTTAATCGCGTGCAGCTATTCTTCAAACAAGCCGCGAAAAGCTAGCGCGCCACCGCATATACCTTACCTACAGATATGCGTTCAGAAACATCACCCGAGTGTCCCTGTATATCATTTTATCCTTGTTGCTCACCATATGTTAAACATTATAAACTATTATAAAATTCATTAATCTGATTGGCGTATGCTCTTAAATTTACTCAAGATGAAGAGAATACGCCAATCAGATTCACGAATTTTACAGCAGTTGCAAAGCAGCTTTTTCTGCTGAACGCAGCCATTGTCTTAAGAGTACAAGACACCCATTCTGCTTAGGCCCTTAACTTCACGTGACACAGCAATGATTACCAATAATTATGACCACAATGACTGACCTGTATCATTTGATTTTCGGCTGAAATTATTTTAAGTCACAGGTCGCGCCATCTCGCGTCACGCAGAAGTAATGCAGCTTTTAAACGTTTTAATAGATGACGCCAAAATGCCAATATTTGTGTCGTTTTACTTCCATATTTTGGAAATATTTATTCTATAAATTTTTGCGGTCTAATTTGTTATTATCTTGAAGGCGCCAATACACTATATATTATATACATTTGTAAAGTAGATCATTTAGGATACTGATTTTATCAGGTCATACAAACCGTGTCACTGAAACGTTTTATGAATCTAAAACTAAAAAATTGTTTATACAAAAACATTTTAAATTACATATAAAATGTGGCCATATATGTTTACTTTTTCTTGTATATCTCTGTTCATATATGCATACAAGAAAAAGTGATGAAACGAATACGGATATATTTTATACATTTATTTGTGCGTTTTTACAAAGAAGTTTTACCGGACACTTCTCGCGCGTAACACAATGTACGATAAATATGGAAAATATAACGTGTGAGAATAAAATATCGGTCGTCGGGAAAACATCGCGACTGTCGCTAATGTTGCCCGATTGGTTTTAAGCTGGCGAGACGCAAATGCGGAAATCAGCGGAATACACATGGGACATTTTATCGCGCTCACGGCATTAATCTACCCGCTGCGTTGTCGCAATCGCGCAGTCCACGCAGAAACGAAGTTATCGCGGCGGCAAAGCCGATGGTGATGGCCGAATTTTTCAATCGCGCCTCGCGAGGGATACGATAGCGCGTGACCACAAACAGCGATAATCCTCCGCGGGAGAAACCGTCAATACTGCGAGAAAACTCGCTATGCTGAAAGTCGAAATTGGTCGGAACAGAACTGCAACTTTCGTGGCAGAGAGATCGCTCGTTTCGCCAGATTATGTCACGGCGATTCGCGTCCCGAATTCCCGTTTGAGCGCAGGGAGATAGTGGCAGCGCTCGCGGCGAAACGCCCGGCAGCCGCTTTAAACAATTTTTTTTCAACGCGACCGGAACGATGGTACACGCCTCACGTGCGTGCCCTCGCGGCATTCGTACAACCGTGCCCATCGCGGCCGTAATTTAATGACAACGACATAATTGCGACGCCGGATCTATTTGCGAGAGCGCAACCTTTACCGCAAATTGAAAAATTGCCGCGCTCGCTCGCGACGCGAGGGCGGGAATTGCACGTGCCACTCGAGATCGAGTGGCGCTTGTTTTGTAACTCGCTGCGAAAAGCCGACCGTATGCTCGCCTATCCGCTAACTAAGAGAGAAACAAGTAGAATTTGTAAATTCCATTCGTTGCATTCCGAGGCGCATTTGGAGAATCAATATCCGTTCGTGACGATCGAAATGTAGACGGGGATTAGATCTCGAACTGCGTCCCGATGCGACGGCTGTTTATTCCGCGAATTTCACGCGAACGTTATCGCATCGCGATAGGATGTGCGTGAGTGACCACATGTGTTATCTGTCGTCCAGCTGAGGTTCGCCGGATCACGAAACGCGCGGGTTCGCCTTTATTTACTCACCCCATTATCGATACTCCAACGTTCGACGAACGGCCGGCGAAAGATCTGTCGTTTAAAAATAAAAATTCGATCGCGAAATCGACGATATGACATCACGTTGATACGACATTACGACAGCCGTTATGCAGGCTGATAAAAAGTGTTTAAATCGAATCCTATATCAGTGCCTCGGAGATAAACAGTGTTAATTCGCTGTTTTTTTGCAAAACGAGATTCTTATATTTTTTTACTCAGCTTGACAAACTGACTCAAAAAATATAAAAATCTCGTTTTTGCAAGAAACACGATTCAACGATTGCTTACCACCGGAGTACTGACGTGTGTTTAAATCAAATCTTACATATGTCGCGAATCATTTTTATGTTATATCATATAATTTGAAACCAGATGAAATTTTTGTATTGTTGTAAAATTAGACGCAAATGCAGATTCAGTTACAGCTCCTCTCTTTCTCGCTCGCTCCCTCCCTCTCTCTCCAAGAAATGCAAATAAAAGAAAAATCGGTCGAAGAAGTTGCCTCTCGAAAAAGAGAATTAAACAAATGTTTACCTAGCTACTCATTCAAGACAAAATACGAGAGAAAGGGAGAGAGGAGTCTCTTAATTATTTTATAGAAGAGCATATATTTTTAATTTTAATAATCGTTCCGGTTTTACGGAAACTCCGAAAAAGTGTTATATAAGTTCCAGCTTCCCTGCACATATTTATAAGTATAACGGTTATTATTACCCAGTGAGAAATGACTCGTCGATCGATGTCGACACCGTCAAATTGATATCGAATTGACGTCGAATGTGACAATGTCGATGTCGACTCGACATCGCTTCCACGAATTGGGTATAGACAATTTTAGAATTCTAGAATGTGAAAGTTATAGAATTTGTATGATATTGAACGTCATGTTAATTCTAAACGTAAAAACGGAGCGATGATTAAAATTAAAAATATATGCACTTTTATAAAATAATTAAGAAACTCCGCTCTCCGTTTCCCTCGTATTTTGTCTTGATTGAGTAGCTAAGTAAATATCCGTTTAATTCTCTTTTTCGAGAGGCAACTTCTTCGATCGATTTTTCCTTTATTTGCATTTGTTGGAGAGAGGGAGAGAGACCCTGTGTAAAATAATAGATACAATATGAATTGAAACAAAGCTTCTTGTTGATCCAACTGGCAATATAATTAATTAAATGTTACAATGGTACGACGTGTGTCGACCCGAGTATCAAGTCCTTATCAAATAACAGATAGAACATGATCTGACTACATTAGATTACATGCAATGCCCATGTAAATTAATGAGACTTATTTATTTACATTGCAATTGTGCAATCTAATGTAATCTGATCATATGCTACCTAATATTTTAAATGAGAGAGAGAGAGAAAGAGAGAGAGAGAGAGAGAGAGAGAGAGAGAGAGAGAGAGAGAGAGAGAGA